AGTGGAGGCAGGAACCATACACAGTTTTAAGACGAGGTTTGATAAAGCTCATGGAGCGGGGAGAGAGAGGGTCTAGTAGCAACCGGTGAAGAGGCGGGGGCCAGGAGCTAGGACTCGACCCCTGCAACCACAAATAGGTGAGTACAAATAGGTGAGTACACACACACACACACACACACACACACACACACACACACACACCTGGAAAGGAACAAGATTATAAATGAAAACCAGCATGGGTTCTTGGAAGGCAAATCGTGTATCACCAACCTCCTGGAGTTTTATGACAAGGTAACAGAAGTAAGACACGAGAGAGAGGGGTAGGTAGATTGCATTTTCCTAGACTGCAGGAAGGCCTTTGACACAGTTCCCCACAAGAGATTAGTGCAGAAGCTGGAGGATCAGGCGCATGTAACAGGGAGGGCACTGCAATGGATCAAGGAATACCTGACAGGGAGGCAGCAACGAGTCATGGTACGTGAAGAGGTATCACAGTGGGCGCCTGTTACGAGCGGGGTCCCACAGGGGTCAGTTCTAGGACCAGTGCTATTTTTGATATATGTGAAAGACATGATGGAAGGAATAGACTCTGAAGTGTCCCCGTTCGCAGATGATGTGAAGTTGATGAGAATAATTAAATCGGATGAGGATGAGGCAGGACTGCAAAGAGACCTGGACAGGCTGGACATGTGGTCCAGTAACTGGCTTCTCGAATTCAATCCAGCCAAATGCAAAGTCATGAAGATTGGGGAGTGGCAAAGAAGACCGCAGACAGAGTATAGGCTAGGTGGACAAAGACTACAGACCTCACTCAGGGAGAAAGACCTTGGGGTGACCATAACACCGAGCACATCACCGGAGGCACACATCAACCAAATAACTGCTGCAGCATACGGGTGCCTGGCAAACCTGGGAATAGCGTTCCGATACCTTAATAAGGAATCGTTCAAGACACTGTACACTGTGTATGTTAGGCCCATACTGGAGTATGCAGCACCAGTCTGGAACCCACACCTGGTCAAGCACGTCAAGAAGCTAGAGAATGTACAAAGGTTTGCATCAAGGTTAGTCCCAGAGCTCAGGGGAATGTCGTACGAGGAAAGGTTGAGGGAAATCGGACTGACGACACTGGAGGACAGAAGGGTCATGGGAGACATGATAACGACATACAACATACTGCGGGGAATAGACAAGGTGGACAGAGATAGGATGTTCCAGAGAGGGGACACAGGGACAAGGGGTCACAACTGGAAGCTGAAGACTCTGACGAGTCACAGGGACGTTAGGAAGTATTTCTTCAGTCATAGAGTTGTCAGGAAGTGGAATAGCCTAGCAAGTGAAGTAGTAGAGGCAGGAACCATACATAGTTTTAAGAAGAGGTATGATACAGCTCAGGAAGCAGAGAGAGAGAGGACCTAGTAGCGATCAGTGAAGAGGCGGGACCAGGAGCTAAGTCTCGACCCCTGCAACCACAATTAGGTGAGTACAATTAGGTGAGTATACACACACACACACACACACACACACACACACACACACACACACACGTGGTAATTCTTTATTTACAGGTAGCAAAGTCAGGGTATTTCTCCAGAACGGTGTGTAATATACCACTGTGGATAAAATACTTCGCCATATCTTGAACACTTCTGAGTGAGTTGTCTCTAAATTCATTAATTTGATCACACTCCAGTACATAATGACGCAAGGTGTGACAATAGTCCATCTGGCAAAGTTTACATTTCGTTTGGTCTACATCTGGTGGTGGTGATTTAACCTGCCAAAGATACTTGTAAGCCAGCCGGAGCCGGGCAGTAGTGACATCCAAGAGTCTGCTTATCTTGTTGAATGCACCATAGACATGTGGTTCCTCCTGCATGATGGAATGATGATAGATGGACTGACTTGTGTTAATTTCCCTAAGTCTTAAGTCAATAAAGTTCAGTTGAAGTTCTTTTCGTAAAATTGTTCTCAAACTGCTAACTGACAACCCAAGATTGTAATCTTCTCCCTCTTTGAAAGCATACAGTTTAGCCAATTAATTAAAGTTTACGTTCCGTCATTTTTCGATGTCTTTCCCTGCACGATTATATTATACAAATATATTTACTTATATTCAGCGACAGTTCTAGATGTGTAGTGCATTTTCATATTCTAACCATACAATAGAGCGGAAAAGTAATGTGAAGGACCTGTGAGTGATAATATCAGAGGATCTCGCCTTCAAAGACCACAACAATGTATCTACCTCATTCGCTTGGAAAATGATAGAATGAATAATGAGAACCTTCAAAACTAGGGATGCCAAGCCCATGATGATTCTCTTCAAATCGCTTGTGCTCTCTAGGCTGGAATACTACTGTACACTAAAGCCCCCCTTCAAGTGTGGCGACATTGCAGACCTGGAGAGTGTACAAAGAACTTTCACAACACACACAAGTACGATAAGGCACCTAAACTACTGCGAACGGTTGAAGGTCCTTGATCTGTATTCCCTCGAACGCAGGCGAGAGAGATACATGATAATATACACTTGGAAGGTCCTGGAGGGATTGGCACCAAACCTGTACACGGAAATCACTCCCTATGAAAGCAAAAGACTCGGCAGGAGATGCAACATTCCCCTGATGAAAAGCAGGGGCCCCACGCGTACATTGAGAGACCACACAGTAAGTGTCCGGGACCCGCGACTGTTCAATTGCCTCCCAGCATACATATAGGGGATTACCAAAAGACCCCTGGCTGTCTTCAAGAAGGCACTGGACAGGCACCTAAAGTCAGTAACTGCCAAACCGGGCTATGGTTCGTACGTCAGCTTGCGTGCGGCCAGCAGTAACTGCCTGGTTGATCAGACGCAGATCCACCATAAGGCCTGGTCTCAGGCCGGGCCGCGGGGGCGTTGACTCCCAAAACTCTCTACAGGTAAACTCCAGGTATCAGAATATCAGTTTCCTTTAAATTACATTGATTACATTTTACTTAAAAAATTACAATAAATAAGGAAAGTGTAGAGAATATAGGTTCTCATATGACTTAACATCTTTTAAAAGTCGCATTGAAGATACACACCTACACTATTACAAAAAAATTATTTTCCTATCAATTATTACACAAATCACAGGAAAATTGTCAAAATTTTCCACTATAATATTTTTTATTTCTACAAGTGCATGCTACAATTATTACAAACCTAGCTGACATCATTGGTATATAGAAAGCCCTGGTTACGCAGAATAATTTCGGGCAACCTAAGTTATTCTTGTATCCATGATGCGACCCACCCAGGTACTTCTTCACTGCTAAGTGAACAGCGGCAACAGGTGCAAGGAAACATGTTCACCGTTTGACCCTTGCCAGGATCGATTCCCGGACCCTCAGTGTGTGAGCTGCAGTATTATAATGATCCTAAACTTTGGGTACTGAACTGTACTGCTAGAAAACTATGCCTATCTTACTGAAAAATTGCACCCGTGATTACAATCCTTGCTGCTGGCAGGGATCATATGGCACTTCAGCAAACAAACTGGGTAGGTCTCGCACTGTGGAAAATAATTTTCCCAAAATTATGCTGTATATTTTTATAATGTAAAATATACCTGATTAATACATTACTATTGATCTAAAGTGTATTTTAAAGAAGAGAATCGACAGGGAAGCTCTGCGCCTGCGCTGACGAGCAGGGGGAAAGACGCCATTGTTTTGAATGTGATACAAGCACATTAGTGTAATGTGCATAAATTTTCGTCGCTCTAAGGGTTATATTGGGCTTAAAACCACTCAAATAGGAGCCGAAATTGTTGGATTTGCAGTTCTGCATAATGTGAGCATTAAGCTGATAGACAGGACACCTTCAGAACCCCAGCTAAGTTGTCTATTTATGTTGGAATTCTTGCCAGTATTTTCTTCATAAATTTAGGCAAGGGGGTTGGTAAGATACACAGTAATCTCCAGACAAATTGGTGAGTGTTATGATTATAAATTCTCCTTCTGTTACATAAATGTGTATATGTAATCATTTATTAATTTTAACATACAGTCCACATATTTATATTAATGTTTTTACCAGAATTCCTGGTGATGTATATTTCATTTGAAATTAATATAGGTCCAGAGTGACTTGTGGATATGACAGTAGTAGGTATCGAAGGGGGACATTTTTTGCGACCTAGGTGTCCTAAAATTCCTATTTGTCTCTGTAACCTTGATAAAGAATAATTATCTTTGTTACCATTTACTGGTATGTATCTTATGAGTTACATCCAGGTAAATTTAATTTTCCACACGCACCCTCACCATCTACACAAAGCAAATGAGTTAGTAATACTTGGACTGCTACATCTAGCTATAACAATATACCCATTGCCACACAGTCGAAATTAAGGGCCACACATGATGCCAGAAACTAGCCCGTTTCATGCCCCAGCAGGGAAGATGATTGCAATATTACTTACACTAAGTCTGAACCCGACGCAGATGCAATCCCTGGAAAGGATGGTATTACTAGATACTTAGAATACTGATTCTCGAAATCGTAATACCACTATTGTAAATAACTCACGGAACGTATAGAATCCGAACCCATGACAACCTAGGCCTAAAATTAGCACCCCGGTGGTCTAATCGCTGCATTAGGCCAGCCTAACAAAATACATCCAACTAGGTATATTTCTATACACTAAGGCAGCACAGTGGTCACAAATTCAAGTTTTTTACAGACCACCAACATAGATGTAGCAAGATTTACCTGAAGTCTCTTCAAATAAGTTAATTAGATGAAGGCATTAGGCCGGAATGTTGTTGTAATTGGAGTACTGGCGTGCCAGTTTTAGGACTCACATACCATGTATTCGATTTATAGCCACTGAGCTTCGAGTAGTTCAGCGTGTGTGTGTGTTTCTTTTCTTTTGGGGAGGAAAAAGATGATGTTTACGTCGGTGTTGCTTTTGGAAGGTTGCCAAGAGAGCATCCAAGGTTATCTGACTGTCTGCTTGATCAAGTGTTTAGTTCACCACTCTTCCTTGTACAGGACACATCAAACATCACTTGCGATTTATTAACATTTTTTTTTCTACTTTACTCAATTCGTTGATTCTCGTTTTTTTTTTATAGGGAATAATCTCAAGTATAAAACTTCAAATATTTTTACGTCTTTGTCAACAAAGTCAGGTAAGGAAAATAATTATAATTAATATTATTACATGCCCTGCACCTTACCCTTGGACAGTGTAAATGAAGGTGTACAGTTGTATTACCAAGTGTAGGAGAATATCAGGAGTGTAGGACAGTATTACTAGATGTATAGAGCAGTATAACCAAGTATAGGACAATATTACTGTGTGAAGAACAGTATTAATGGGTAAGACAAAATTACCAGGTATTTCAGTATTAATAGGTGTGTTAGACAAAAATGCCAGGTATTAAACAACATTAACAAGTGTTTAAGACAAAAATATCAGGTGTTAGACATTATTAAGAGGTGTGTAAGACAAAATTACCAAATGTATGTAAACATTACTAGACGTGTTAGACTATTACTAGCGTTGTAAGAGAATATTATCAGAGATGTCCCGTTGCCTGGTAGGCAACGCTCTCGCCTTACACATTGAGTGTCCGTGGTTCGATCCCCGGCGGGGTGGAAATAGCGGGCACGATTCCTTACATCTGCTGTCCCCGTTCACCTAGAAGTAAGTGTAAGAAGTATATGGGTGTTACCGGGACTTCGTATGGTTGTAGCATCCTGGGGAACAAGATTGGAAGACCAAGAAAATATGACAGTATTAGAGCTGTTTTCATGGATTACTAATGGTAGCTATACCTTGCAGGTTAAAAATCCGTACAAGATCATTACCAGAGTTCGTAGGACAGTATTGCCAGAGTTGTAGGACAGATTACAAGTTGTAGGCAGTTTTACCAAAGGTGTACGACAGTATTGCCAGAGTTGTAGGACAGTATTACCAGAGTTGTAGGACAGTATTACCAGAGGTGTACGACAGTATTGCCAGAGTTGTAGGACAGTATTGCCAGAGTTGTAGGACAGTATTACCAGAGTTGTAGGACAGTATTGCCAGAGTTGTAGGACAGTATTACCAGAGTTGTAGGACTGGGACAGTATTACCAGAGTTGTAGGACAGTATTGCCAGAGTTGTAGGACAGTATTACCAGAGTTGTAGGACAGTATTGCCAGAGTTGTAGGACAGTATTGCCAGAGTTGTAGGACAGTATTACCAGAGTTGTAGGGCAGTATTACCAGAGGTGTACGACAGTATTGCCAGAGTTGTAGGACAGTATTACCAGAGTTGTAGGACAGTATTACCAGAGTTGTACGACAGTATTGCCAGAGTTTGACTTGCTAGGACAGTATTGCCAGAGTTGTAGGCAGTATTACCAGAGGTGTACGACAGTATTGCCAGAGTTGTAGGACAGTATTACCAGAGTTGTAGGACAGTATTACCAGAGGTGTACGACAGTATTGCCAGAGTTGTAGGACAGTATTACCAGAGTTGTAGGACTATTACCAGAGTTGTAGGACAGTATTACCAGAGTTGTAGGACAGTATTACCAGAGTTGTAGGACAGTATTACCAGAGGTGTACGATAGTATTGCCAGAGTTGTAGGACAGTATTGCCAGAGTTGTAGGACATTATTACGAGAGGTGTACGACAGTATTGCCAGAGTTGTAGGACAGTATTACCAGAGTTGTAGGACAGTATTACCAGAGGTGTACGACAGTATTGCCAGAGTTGTAGGACAGTATTACCAGAGTTGTAGGACAGTATTACCAGAGGTGTACGACAGTATTGCCAGAGTTGTAGGACAGTATTGCCAGAGTTGTAGGACAGTATTGCCAGAGTTGTAGGACAGTATTGCCAGAGTTGTAGGACAGTATTGCCAGAGTTGTAGGACAGTATTACCAGAGTTGTAGGACAGTATTGCCAGAGTTGTACGACAGTATTGCCAGAGTTGTAGGACAGTATTACCAGAGTTGTAGGGCAGTATTACCAGAGGTGTACGACAGTATTGCCAGAGTTGTAGGACAGTATTACCAGAGTTGTAGGACAGTATTACCAGAGTTGTAGGACAGTATTACCAGAGGTGTACGACAGTATTGCCAGAGTTGTAGGACAGTATTGCCAGAGTTGTAGGACAGTATTACCAGAGGTGTAGGCCAGTATTACCAGAGGTGTAGGACAGTATTACCAGAGGTGTAGGACAGTATTATCAGAGGTGTAGGACAGTATTACCAGAGGTGTAGGACAGTATTACCAGAGATGTAGGCCAGTATTACCAGAGGTGTAGGACAGTATTACCAGAGGTGTAGGACAGTATTACCAGAGGTGTAGGACAGTATTACCAGAGGTGTAGGACAGTATTACCAGAGGTGTAGGACAGTATTACCAGAGGTGTACCTGGAGTTTACCTGGAGAGAGTTTCGGGGGTCAACGCCCCCGCGGCCCGGTCTGTGACCAGGCCTCCTGGTGGATCAGCGCCTGATCAACCAGGCTGTTGCTGCTGGCTGCACGCAAACCAACGTACGAGCCACAGCCCGGCTGATCAGGAACTGACTTTAGGTGCTTGTCCAGTGCCAGCTTGAAGACTGCCAGGGGTCTGTTGGTAATCCCCCTTATGTGTGCTGGGAGGCAGTTGAACAGTCTCGGGCCCCTGACACTTATTGTATGGTCTCTTAACGTGCTAGTGACACCCCTGCTTTTCATTGGGGGGATGGTGCATCGTCTGCCAAGTCTTTTGCTTTCGTAGTGAGTGATTTTCGTGTGCAAGTTCGGTACTAGTCCCTCTAGGATTTTCCAGGTGTATATAATCATGTATCTCTCCCTCCTGCGTTCCAGGGAATACAGGTTTAGAAACCTCAAGCGCTCCCAGTAATTGAGGTGTTTTATCTCCGTTATGCGCGCCGTGAAAGTTCTCTGTACATTTTCTAGGTCGGCAATTTCACCTGCCTTGAAAGGTGCTGTTAGAGTGCAGCAATATTCCAGCCTAGATAGAACAAGTGACCTGAAGAGTGTCATCATGGGCTTGGCCTCCCTAGTTTTGAAGGTTCTCATTATCCATCCTGTCATTTTTCTAGCAGATGCGATTGATACAATGTTATGGTCCTTGAAGGTGAGATCCTCCGACATAATCACTCCCAGGTCTTTGACGTTGGTGTTTCGCTCTATTTCGTGGCCAGAATTTGTTTTGTACTCTGATGAAGATTTAATTTCCTCATGTTTACCATATCTGAGTAATTGAAATTTCTCATCGTTGAACTTCATATTGTTTTCTGCAGCCCACTGAAAGATTTGGTTGATGTCCGCCTGGAGCCTTGCAGTGTCTGCAATGGTAGGACAGTATTACCAGAGGTGTAGGACAGTATTACCAGAGATGTAGGCCAGTATTACCAGAGGTGTAGGACAGTATTACCAGAGGTGTAGGACAGTATTACCAGAGGTGTAGGACAGTATTACCAGAGGTGTAGGACAGTATTACCAGAGGTGTAGGACAGTATTACCAGAGTTGTAGGACAGTATTGCCAGAGTTGTAGGACAGAATTTATAAATGTGTAGGGCAAATTTTTATTATTTTTTATAATAAATGTTAGAATAACCTCAGTGTTGATCTTCTGTGATCTATAAAACATTTCACAAGAACTTTGTTTACTTAAAGGACCCCAGTGGAAATAGGTCACTCTCTCTAAGTTTTGTGGGTTATCCTAGGTACTTTACACATATGCTGCTATGTATGATAATCTGTGAAACTGTGTGTATACCAGAATAAACTTACTTACCTAACACGCCCATCACACAACATGGTTGTCATCCATGGGATTATTCCCGGAGGATAACAAACCCACGATAATTCAAGAAGCCAAGAAACGTGGCTTAATTATTTCTCTTGGAGACTAATTTTTTCTCTATCCTTGGATGCTACCCACTTCAGTGGGATAACACCCACGTACCTGTTTGCTGCTAGGTGGGTAGGTGAATAGCAAGTGTAATAAGATTTGCTCTTGCATCTTGACTGTCAGTAGTATTGAACCTGGATCCTTCGATTGTGAGCCGATTCCTAACGAGCTGCCACTTACTATGTTATTCCAAGTAGTTTTACTAGCTGAAAGTTCCAGTTAGTTCTAGCAGGTCTTGAGTTACTGAGAATGGATACAGTAATACCATTTTGATGAATAGTTTATATATTAAGTGGCGGTAGATGATTATCAAGTACATTTGATGTGTATGTTTGTCAATATATGTTGATATAACGCTGTTAGAGCCGTTATCTGCTCTACTTATCTGTTAACCCTAGATAACAACATTGCCTTCAAAATATAAATTCAGATTACTATGGTTGAAATAATACACCTTAATTACTATGAAATATACAATATATATATATATATATATATTATATATATATATATATATATATATATATATATATATATATATATATATATATATATATATATATATATATATAATATTGTGTGTGTGTGTATGTACTCACCTAATTGTAGTTGCAGGGGTCGAGACTCATCTCCTGGCACCGCCGCTTCACTGATCGCTACTAGGTCCTCTCTCTCTCTCTGCTCCCTGAGTTTTGTCATACCTCGTCTTAAAGCTATGTATAGTTCCTGCCTCCACTACATCACTTTCTAGGCTATTCCACTTCCTGACGACTCTATGACTGAAGAAATACTTCCTGACATCCCTGCGACTCGTCTGAGTCTTCAGCTTCCGATTGTGACCCCTTGTTTCTGTATCCTCTCTCTGGAACATCCTGTCTCTGTCCACCTTATCTATTCCACACAGTATTTTGTATGCCATTATCATGTCTTCCCAGACCCTCCTGTCCTCCAGTGTCGTCAGGCCGATTTCCCTCAACCTTTCTTCGTAGGACATTTCCCTGAGCTCCGGAACTAGCCTTGTTGCAAACCTTGGTACTTTCTTTAATTTCTTGACGTGCTTGACCAGGTGTGGGTTCCAAACTGGTGCTGCATACTCCTGTATGGGCCTGACGTACACAGTGTACAGTGTCTTGATTATTTACTAAGGTATCGGAACGCTATTTTCAGGTTTGCCAGGCGCCCATACACTGCAGCAATTATCTATTTGGTGTGTGCCTCAGGAGACGTGAGTGAGGTTTGCAGTCTTTGTCCACCTAGCTTATACTCTGTCTCTTGTCTTCTTTGCCTTTCCCCAGTCTTCATGACTTTGTATTTGGCGGGGTTGGATTCGAGAAGCCAGTTGCTGGACCACGTGACCAGCCTGTCCAGGTCTCATTGGAGTCCTGCCTGATCTTCATCTGATTTAATTCTCCTCATTAACTTCACATCGTCTGCGAACAGGGACACTTCAGAGTCTATCCCTTCCATCATGTCATTCACATATACCAAAAATAGCACTGGTCCTAGGACTGACCCCTGTGGGACCCCGCTCGTCACAGGCGCCCGCTGTGATACCTCATCACGTACCATGAATCGTTGTTGCCTGCCTGTCAGGTATTCTCTGATTCATCGCAGTGCCCTTCCTGTTATACGCGCCTGATCCTCCAGCTTCTGCTCTAATCTCTTGTGAGGAACTGTGTCGAAGGCCTTTCTGCAGTCCAGGAAAATGCAATCAACCCACCCCTCTCTCTCGTGTCTTACTTCTGTTACTTTGCCATAAAACTCCAGAAGGTTTGTTACACTGGATTTGCCTTCCATGAATCCGTGCTGGTTGTCGTTTATAATCTTGTTCCGTTCCAGGTGCTCAACCACTCTCCTGATAATCTTCTCCATGACTTTGCATTCTATACACGTCAGTGATATTGGTCTGTAGTTTAGTGCCTCGTTTCTGTCTCCTTTCTTAAAAATGGGGACTACATTTGCCATCTTCGATACCTCAGGTAGTTGCCCAGTTTCAAGGGATGTGTTGAAGATTGTGGTTAGTGGCACACACAGCATCTCCGCTCCTTTTCTAAGGACCCATGGGGAGATGCCTGGTCCCATCGCCTTTGAGGTATCAAGGTCACTTAGCAGCTTCTGCACCTCCTCCTCAGTTGTGTGTATGTCATCCAACACTTGTTGGTATATTCCCTGTTGGTGTTCCCCTCTGTGCTGTCTTCCCAGAGCCCTTCCTCTCTCTTCTGTGAATACTTCCTTGAATCTCGTGTTGAACTCCTCACATACCTCTTGATCGTTTCTTGTGAGTTCCCCACCTTCTTTCCTCAGCCTGATCACCTGGTCTTTGACTGTTGTCTTCCTCCTAATGTGTTTATACAGCAGTTTCCGGTCAGATATGACTGTTGATGCTATGTTGTTTCGTACTGTCGTTGGGCCTCCCTCCTAATCTGTGCACACTCGTTTCTGGCTCTTCGACTAATCTCCTTATTTTCCTGGGTTCTTTGCCTTCTATACTTTTTCCATTCTCTAGTGCACTTAGTTTTTGCCTCCCTACACCTTCGGGTAAACCAAGGGCTCGTTCTGGTCTTTCCATTATTTCTGTTGCCCTTGGGAACAAACCTTTCCTCTGCCTCCTTGCATTTTGTTGTTACGTATTCCATCATTTCATTTACTGACTTTCCTGCCAATTCTCTGTCCTACTGAACCTCCTGCAGGAAGTTCCTCATACCTGTGTAGTCCCCACTTTTATAGTTTGCCTTTTTCCATTCAACTCCTGTTACCCTCTCTCCACTGGTAACTCTACTATGTATTCAAAACACAGAACCATGTGATCACTAGCCCCAAGAGGCCTCTCATATGTAATGTTCTCAATGTCTGAACTGGTCAGGGTGAACACGATGTCCAGTCTTGCTGGTTCATCCTTCCCTCTCTCTCTCTGGTAGTGTCTTATTAACATTTTGATGCATGAAGTTTTCCAGTACCACATCCATCATCTTGGGTCACCAGGTTTCAGGACCCCTGTGTGGCTCCAGGTTTTCCCAGTCCATCTCCCTGTGGTTGAAATCGCCCATAACCAGTAACTTTGCTCTGCTCGTGTGAGTTCTTGCCACCTCGGCCAGTGTGTCCACCATTGTTCTGTTGCTCTCTTCATATTCCTCTCTTGGCCTCCTGCAGTTCTGTGGTGGATTATACATCAGTGCAATAACTACCTTATGTTCCCCAGACTGAAGTGTACCTACTATGTAATCCCTCCAATCTCGTCCATGCCTTCCATTTCCTCAAATCTTCATCGGGTTTTTACGAGCAGAGCAACCCCTCCTTCCCCTCTACTCCTTCTATCTTTCCTCAGGATCTGATATCCTGGTGGGAAGATTGCATCTGTTATTGTCTCAGTGAGTTTCGTTTCTGTGATTGCTATGATATCTGGGGACTTCTCATTGATTCTTTCATGCGACTCCTCATATTTATTCATTATTCCATCCGCGTTTGTGTACCAAACTTTCAACATCTTGTCTAAAACTGTGATCCTGGGAGAAGATTGGGGTTTGGGGTATCGGGAGCCCTGGCGGGGGACTATGGGAGGTTGTGGTGGGGTGGGGGCAGAGTTCCCATGGGGGTTGTGGTGGGGTGGGGGCAGAGTTCCCATAGGGGGTTGCTGTAGGGGTGGGGTTTGTGGTGTGGGGGTGGGGACAGAGGGATCAGTGTGTGAGTGTCAGTTTAGAGTCTTCAGTTGCCCTGGGGTTGTCGTGGTTGGAGTCCTTCTGCAGGTGTTTCTGGAGGGTGTGTTTGCCCTTCCACCTGTGTCTGGGTTCTTCTGCTCATCTTTGCCATTTCCTCTCATTCTTTCTTTCGTTTTTGTACTCCTTCTTTCAGTATCATCCTTTCCTCTTGTGTTCTGTCTCGATCGAGGTACACACTCTGGTACTCGGGTTTGTCTCTTAGTTGTGCTTTCTCCTGAAGGATCATGGTTTGAGTTTATTCTGCCTTGAAAATTACTTTGAGAGGCCGTTTCTGTCCCCTTGCAAACCACCCAATTCTCCGAAAATTTGCCACATGGGGTCACGTCGCCCTCACCTATTGCTTTCATGATACCTTCAATCACTTTTTTTCTCCTCCTGTTTTCTTTCAATGTAGGTTTCCCCTTCAACTTCCTGGAGCCTGTAGACAAAAACTGATCTTGCCCGTTTGTCCTCCCTCTGTCTCCCATTGCATCCTCTGAGGTGTTTTAGTTCCTTCGATTGGAGCATTCCTTCAGTCTTTTTCCTGGCTGAGGCCCCTGTGCTCAGTGGACTGTCTTTCCTGCTCAGCTGTCCTTGGCCCCTGCAGGTGTCTGTTAGAGTCTCCACATATATCATAGCTCTTCATTATCTTCAGACCTCTCATTTGTTCCTAGTGTGCTCCTCATCTTTGCCTTGGTCCCATGTGGGTCTGATAGCTTCTTTGCTCCCTCCAGGCCCCTTATCTGTGCCTGATGCAGAAGTTCCTGATGTTATGTCTGTACTGTCATTTAAGCTGTTTCAGGTTTCTCAGTTCCTCTTCTAAGCACTGTATCTTAGCTTCTGCTACAATGGCTTGTTTCTCCCACATCCTGTTCTCTGCAGCTAACCTCTCCTCCATTTTCCTGCCAAGCTCTTCTAGTTTCATTCCCCAGTCTTCTGTGTGTGTGTGTGTGTGTGTGTGTGTGTGTGTGTGTGTGTGTGTGTGTGTGTGTGTGTGTGTGTGTGTGTGTGTGTGTGTGTTTGAAAATTTCTACACAACTAACCCCTTATGTAGGGAGCAAACTTATTACGACATTTTAGTCCGACTAGAAACCTTTTATTCTTTCTTTGTCAAATATTTGTTTGTTGTTCAGTTTAAAAGGTCTAACATGATGTTTAATATAAAAACATTATAGTAAATACCTCGCAGTTTACCTTCAATGGCTTGACCGGTTGTAAGTTCACTACTGGAGAGAACCGTTGCCAACTGTCAACATTCTCTATTTCTCTCCTGAAGGCAGAGAAGTATGGAGACTAATATGCCAGCCTGTGCTCCCCTTCCTTGGTTCGAACCTGAATGTGGAGCCCTAACCCCTACGAGCTTAGGGCTCCACACGATTATAATAATAATCTATTCCCCTCTCTTCTAATATGCAGCCATACCTGGAGAGAGTTTACCTGGAGAGAGTTTCGGGGGTCAATGCCCCCGCGGCCCGGTCTGTGACCAGGCCTCCTGGTGGATCAGCGCCTGATCAACCAGGCTGTTGCTGCTGGCTGCACGCAAACCAACGTACGAGCCACAGCCCGGCTGATCAGGAACTGACTTTAGGTGCTTGTCCAGTGCCAGCTTGAAGACTGCCAGGGGTCTGTTGGTAATCCCCCTTATGTGTGCTGGGAGGCAGTTGAACAGTCTCGGGCCCCTGACACTTATTGTATGGTCTCTTAACGTGCTAGTGACACCCCTGCTTTTCATTGGGGGGATGGTGCATCGTCTGCCAAGTCTTTTGCTTTCGTAGTGAGTGATTTTCGTGTGCAAGTTCGGTACTATAAACAATTTTACTTCTAACTTGCCTTTATATAAACAACCCTCTCTAACTTGGTCATATAAAGAGACCCCTTCCAACTTGTGGACACATACAGAGCTCCTTTCTAACTTGAAGAAATATAGCCCACTTTGCATCAACAATAAAGATTAAATAAATATTTAAATTACTTAATCTGTTTCTTTTTTCTAGATATTTCAGTGCTATACTAACACTGAAAATAATCATCATACAGAATTTCACACAAGTTCAGGTTTGTAGGTCTCAAAGCTGGTGCAGACTGGAGGCGTAACACAGACAAGTGGCGGTTATGAAGACTGTGTAGCTAAGTCCTTCATTGGTACAACGTTTCACCTGCTGTGGGCTTTTTCAGTTACTTGAAAATGCCCACCTGTGGGTGAAACGCTGTATCAATAAAGATCTTCACCACACTTAACATCATCAAAGATGTCATGATTGCAGGACAGACGCGACCACCATGTGGAGAAGTCTGCGGAGTGTGGTGGCAACAGGTTTGGGAGGCACCAGATGTGGAGTAGTAGGTGTGGGAGGTACCAGGTGTGCAGTAGTATTTGATGGAAGCAGCCTAAGTGTTGGAGGCAGCAGGTGTGGAGCAAATGTAGCCAGGTCCTTTCACCTCTCCGTCACTTGTCAAGCCAGCTCAAGAAGCAATCTTAACAAACCACTGGCCTCAAGTGAAATGCCACGTCCAGGAGGCATCGCTTCCTTCATGCGGCTACCCGTCCAGAGCGACACGCAAGGTAATAACTACACTAAGTCTATTTGTTAGGTAAGACACATATGCAACAGTTAGGTATCTTTATTTCGAAACGTTTCGCCTACACAGTAGGCTTCTTCAGTCGAGTACAGAAAAGTTGATAGAAGCAGAAGATACTTGAAGACGATGTAATCAGTCCATCACCCTTAAAGTTTTGAGGTGGTCAGTCCCTCAGTCTGGAGAAGAGCATTGTTCCGTTGTCTGAAACAATATGAAGTTGAAGTGACAGGATGGAGCCTTATATAGTGCCAGGAGGTGAGACGTAGGTTGCTTTGGGAGGGCAGGTCCCTCTCAAACCCAGCCGTTCTGACTAGTAGAGGTTGTCGAAGTTGATGGTCTGTACCAAGATACCCTTGTGTTGCAGTGTCTGACAGAATGAACATTAAAATGGTATAAAATACCGACAGATTGTTAGGTAAGACACATATGCAACAGTTAGGTATCTTTATTTCGAAACGTTTCGAAATAAAGATACCTAACTGTTGCATATGTGTCTTACCTAACAATCTGTCGGTATTTTATACCATTTTAATGTTAAGTCTATTTGTATTAATGTATTACATTCACTGAGAAACGCTAAGCCCACAGAAATCACATAGCGCCTTGGGAATGGAAGGCAATAAGATAAAATCTGAAGAGCCCTTCACAAGATGAAATAATCATGTGTTGAGTATTTGGAATTAATATATCGTAAGTGTATTAATAAATAAATTTGCTTAGTATAAGAGTGATAGAGCAGATGCTAAGATGACTCAAGATAAGAGTATCACAAAAAGAACATGAAACTAGAGTTCATGTTTTCTACAGACTGTAATGAATGAAAGTGAGTGTACACTGTACAGCTTCCAGCCTGTACACACACAGGAGCCAGGGTCAGGAGCTAGGACTCGACCCCTGCAACCTCAACTAGGTGAGTACACAAAAATTGCTTAGTCTAGGCGCTCATTACTGATTTTCGACACATAAGGAAGAAGACTGTCAGTAAAGGCAATTAGAAAAAAATCCTCATTGTACTCAAAATGAATTTCTTTTTCGAGAGATGTAAATTTTTTTCACGAACTCGGAAGTTTTTAATAGGATGATTACTAGTGACGAACAATGAGTTATTTACTTTGTGCCAAACAAAATGGCAAATCTTGCAAATTAAACATTCTACTTCAGCACTCTCAAAGAAATTAATGCAGGTTGCCTCAGTAGGTCATGACATTACAGAGGCAGCAGGTGTATTTGACTGAAGAAGCCTACTGAGTAGGCGATACGTTTCAACAATAAAGATACCCAACTGTTACACAAGTGTCTTAATCATAAACTTGACGGTATTTTATACTTTTTACGACATAACTATCAGTCACTGCAGTACAATGGTCGGTATCTTGGTACAAAAGACATCTTCCAAATTTCATCTCGTATTTATTAGTTGTGAGTGAAGACCTACCTTCTTGCTTCTACTAGTAATCCCGTCCCTTGCAACATCTTCGAGATCTTCCACCTCACCTTCGACAGTATTTAAGATTCCATCCTCATGCTTCATTCTGGACCCCGGTCTTGGCGAACATTACATGAATGGTATACAATACCGATAAGATGAAAAATTAGACACATGTGCAACATCTGGGCATTTTTATTGTAGACGTTTCGCCACCCAGTGGCTTTATCAATACAAATTCGAGGACATAATGTATGACAGAAGAACTATATACAAAAGATAATGTAATCAGTCCATCAGCTTTGGAGTTGGTGTGAAGAGCACCGTAGTCGTGAAGATTATGGAGCACAAACAAGAAGGCTGGTCCTTGTATACTGGCGACAGGTGGGAAGGGGCACGAAGCACGAAGACGACTAGAGCTGTCGTGAGGTGGGAAGGATGAGGAAGGATGGAAATACTGGAAAAGGATGGGAGGGAGGAGGAAAAAAAGCAAGTGGCCCAACCACTTTGGGACATGTGGTACATAAGTACAGCAGACATAGAAGGAGAGGGATGAACGACGTCGGTACTTGGCTCACTAGGAGAGGATGGCGAAGGCGGCGGTAAGAGCTGGGAGTGTCAGAAGGCGACAAGCAGGATAAGTTGTATTGGTGATAGTCGGCTTGAGGCTTGTTAGGCTACTTTCCCATTAGAAAGAGTCTTGAACTTCGGTTTTGGCATGTAGATGAGTTTAAACTTGCAGTCAGGGACTATCCCTGGAGCAGTAAGGGTATTGAGTTCTGCAAGGATGAGATAAAGGATGGTCTACAGACGTACTTGACTTCGTCGCTCTGGAGGAGTGGGATCAATGTCTGTGCATGCATTTCATTAGGATACTGCCGAGTGGTGAAGAAAGAGACTCCACGTATTGAATTGTTGGGACGATTATCCTCAAAGTCAGAGGCAGGCGAAGTCGTTGATTGGATAGTTTTGTTGGTGGTGGAAGACGAGGACGCTGCTCGTGTCTTGACAGATGTAGTGGCTGGCGTTGGAGGCGGTTTCTCATTGGTGGAGGGAGGTGGAGGTACGTGAGGCAGTGAGTGCTCTGATTGGTTCCTGGAAGTGTTGGTTGCTGGAGGAGGAGGCGGTCTCTTATTGGTGGATTGCGAAGTAGAGCAGGTGGCCTCTGCAGAAATCATATCTTGCAAGTCATCTGGTGCCTCGAAGCTGATGATTTTTGGAATAATCTTTAAAACAGCAGCAGCAGCCGCCGCTGCCGCCGCCATGAAGAAGCTTATGTTGAATTTCTCTTCTTGCTTCAGTTAATTCTGCCTTAAGCCATCATCTCAGGTAGCTAAGAACAGAGAGCACACTAGTCACGTCTTGATAAAGCTAAGTACAGATACCACTGAGCTAAGTGTATTCTTTTCAAGATTGATGGACTGATTACATAGACAGGCTGAGGGACTGATTACCTCAAACTTCTCCTGATCTTCACCATTCTTGTGTGTGATTAATGTCTCAATCTTCACCATTCTTCTTTGTTTAAAACTTATGAAGCCACTGTGTGGCGAAACGTTCTCACAGTAAAGATACCCAAGTGTTGCACATGTGTCTAATTCATCAAGTTGTCGGTTCTCTGAACCATTTATCTACATAAAATGTTTTGTTGAAAATGATATAAAATGTTTTGCCGTAGATCATACAGGGACTACAGCAAGACCCTTATCGCGGCCACAGAACAGTTGAATTAGATCGACATCTTTTCGAGATCCTCAGACGGGTCATCATAGGATTAAGATCCGTGTCAGGATGCAGTTCCTGACTAATCAAACAAACAAACTTCTTCATCTTCCAGACCATGGAGCTGACCTTTTCTCCAGGGTGAGGGACTGACCATCTCAAATATTTTTTCTCCAAGTTGATAAACTGATTTCATCTTCATTTCACTACTACACCTGCTGCCTCTGACTAAAGAAGCCTAGTGTGTAGGAGAAGCGTTTCAACAATAAAGATACCCAACTGTTGCACATGTGTTGTAATCAGTATACGGTGCACCCAACTGTAGAGATAATATACTTAACTGCAGATAAAGTACCTAAATGTATAGATAATAAAGAGATATATCAGGTCTGGACGCGTGTTTCGTGGGTGTTCCTCTGGATATTGGTGCGTCTAACAGGAGTGGAACACGTCTGGGACCTCGTCAGATCCGCTGTGAGTCAGTCCTCCTGAGGCCTTACAACTCTGCCACTGGTGCAGCCCCATACGACTGCCTCAACGTGGCAGACGTCGGTGATGTATTCATTAATATCTTCAA